CTCTGCTCTATGGTGCCAGTGCGTCTGCCACACAGCCCGTTAAGACTAATGCGACACAGGCTCCAGCTCACATTTCAGCCTCACATAAATGCAACCCCCCAACCTCCCTGCACATCGCCATCCTTAAGCCCCCCTATTTCCCCTCCCATTTCCTTTTTTTTTCTAAGCTGACCCGGGCTGGCCCAGAGACACCGGTCCATTTGATTGTAAAGCACTTATAATTTTTTTTTTTTTTTTAAATAGTAACATCGCAATCACATTGTTTGGTGTTAAAAAATTGTTGACGTGCAGTTGGAAACAGACGTTTCTGCTCAGATAAGATGCAGAGGTAGTGGGTGAGAGTGCGTCTGCCTCCCTGACAGTGAGAGCAGGGGTCCCCGGAGGACCAGTGATAAAAGTTGGAGAAGGGAACTTCAAAAGTGTGGTGGCGAACGAGTGTGGTGAGATCGCACACAGCGCCGGGCCTGCTGTCTCTCTCATGACCTCCCTGTCATGTGGCTTCCATGAGAACCAAACATCCAGCCACAGTTGTTTCCATACAAAACCGAGCTGCTTTGGTGATCCCACTGCCTTTTCTCCATGTTCTAGCCGAAGACCGTTTGCCTGGCAGTTTCTACACGACTGCCTTTTTTTTTTTTTCTTCTTCTTCTTCTTGGTACGCGTGAAAGGCACAAATAAAACAAACAGTAGCCTCGCAGTGTTATTATAGAAGGAAAACAGTTTTCGGTGGTCAGTCCATGTTCATTAGGATCACACTCTCGGAAAAAAAAACGCGATAGATGTATTTCTTCCGAAAACATTGTTGCCGCGTACGTGTACTGCAGTTCCTTAAATCCCCTGCAGTCCTAAACACGAGGCTCAACCAATTAACAAGGCCTACACAGTAATTAGCTGTCTGCGTGTTGAATAACTCCTCAGCTTCAGTTCCCATTAGTGGCTTATAGCTGCAGAGGTTCATAATTATACCATGAGGAGCGTATATGTGCTTGATTAGTAATTATACCATCCACATAATTATAGATCCGGTCTTCCTTCTGAGGCCTGTTTTGACACATATTTCATGAACGTGGTGCGATCAGACTTATTGGTGTGTCAGTGTTTTTTTTTTTTTATGAGTCAGAAATCGTTTTGCAAATATTGTTGTTGTATGCAAACACCGGGTAAAAACTGTTTTGGTGTCAGCCACGGAAACGATTCCGTTTCTCTAAGGAAGGGGATTTGCCTTCCTTTCCCTTACAACAAGGAGGGGACGAGGTTTCCTGTCAATAGAGATACAAGATAAAAGATCATTTAATGATGTTTTATTTGAATTGAAAAATGCATAAGTGTAGTAGGTGTCCTGGATTGGGAATATCCGTTTGAAGTGCGAAGTGTAAAATCAGCATCACGTGGAATTAGTTTATGTCCTTATCAGGACCAGATGGAGCCATATTTTACGCCGTGTGATTCCAGTATCCATCTCTCACAATCTGCTCGCAATTAAACCCTTGGGTGAATGTTCAACAGCCTGAGAAAAACCTGGTTTTGGAATCAGCTGACTCGAAGTTGGTAACAACAGGAGAGACCACCCTTGACTTCCACTGTAAATGATATTATGTGTCCATTAGGGCTCCGAGTCCGACATCAAAGTGAAATGGGACAATGCAACGACACCCACCTTTTCTTTCTTTTTTTTTTTTTTTTCTCCCCCCAAAGTGTGAGAAAGTCAGAAGTGTTTTGTGTGCGGTGAAGTTAATCTCTTCTTTGGATACATAACAATGACAGCATTCCTCTGGAGGTGTACGGCAAAACTGCCAGCCAGGTAAAAAAAAAACTCATAAAATATTGAGTTTAAAGATGCACTGGAGCAAAGATACGTTCTTTTCCGTCTTCGGCCAAATTTTTAAAAAAAATTTCTCTTTTAGGATGTATTGCTGTGTCATTTGTTTATGGGCAAAGACGAAAACAGAACTTTTGTGTTGGTAGCAGGGTGAGGGCAGGGACTGTTGTATTTATCACCAAATATTTACAAGTGTTTGTAGATCTGGGTAAAATGTGTGTGTGTGTGTGTATTTGTTCGTTTCGTTTAAATGTCAACAAGGCGGATTACATCAGGCTGTGGTTTTGTTAATAATTAGCAAACCGGTGTGTAATGGTTTTTTTACCTCGGTGTGTGGATACATTTCAGGATGTCCTACATGGGACGCTAATAGTTGGTTGCGTCGTCTTTCTTCCAGATAATCCTGGAGAAAGCAAACCCGGTGTGTACTTTTCTCATGAGGTTCAAAAGGTAAAGCTGATCAGGTGACAGGTAGCTGGAAACACACAGAGTAAAAACTCGCTTTGACTTTCACTTTCAACATGGAGCGCTGGTCCAACTGTGTTTGTCAGATGCTCACATAGAATAGAATAAAGATTACATTTTGGTCTTTTGGGCAGGATTCAGCCCGTGGGACGCAGGTCGAAAATCACTTAATGAGAGAAGAGACAGAGACTCTGAAATGTTGGCTAGTTTAACTTCAAAGTGGGTAAAGCGGAGACTTAAATGTGTCTTATCAAAGCAGAGGACCACTGAGAGCTGACTGAAGGTCAAAAGGGCAACGTCTGAATTGGAAAAAAAAAAAGAGAGAAGTTCAAGTTAAATATGCTTTGGCCTCTCTCATTAGAGTGCACGGGGACTTCCTGGGCTAATAACTGGGATTGGGTTTGCATTACTTTGTGTCTCAGCAGCAGGAGGGGAATACAACCCTTTAATACAGCCGCTTCAATTACACCACATCAGGAAAACGATGTCCCCTTAGATGCCATTAAAAAATAATACTCTGTGTGTGTGTGTGTGTGTGTGTGTGTGTGAGAGAGAGAGAGAGAGATAGAGAGAGAGAAGGTTCTCTCTTGAAGCAACGCTCCAGGATTGTTTTATTTTGTCCTTCGGTCAGGACTGTAAGAACTAATGCTCAAGTTCACCAACATCTGTTAAATCGCTGCCAGTGATAATAATCACAACTACCGGCAAATTGCCGCATCTTATCGTGGGCAATTAACAAAATACGGAACCTTGAAAACACCCTCTGGCGGTATCCTCTCTTCTCTCTCTCTCTATTTCCCTCTCTCCCATTCTCTGCCTTTGTCTCTCTCCCTTCCCCGTCCTCCACTTCTTAGGCACACGCAGCTTCATGTCAGAGGATGCCTCTTGCCCCGAATGTCGATTGAAGGAAGCTATTTAACCAAATGCCAAAGTCGTTGAGTTGCTTCACATCCTGTCAGATAAACGGCCACAAAGAGTTCCTTTTTTTTTTTTTCTCCCCAAACGTTACATCTCAACATCCTCCTCTTATTCTCCTCACCCCCCCCTCAACCCCCACCCCCCTACTCCTCTTGTTGGTTGATAAAGAGTGTTGTAATGTCAGGAAGGACACACATTCCTCACAATGTACTCACAGATCTCCAAGGAGCAGAGGTTAGCTTCCTCCCAATATGTGTGACAGATCAGAGGAAGGAGCGAGAGTACGGGTAAAAAAAAAAAAAAAAGGACGGATAAAAAATGACTTTTGTTAAGTAACAGAAAACAACAAGAAGAAAGAAAACCAAGAAACCAAACATTATCGATCCATCGCTGAGCCACTATTGTTTTTCAGAGGAATGAATCAACAACAAAACAAAGAATCGAGGGAGGGAAAAGAAATGACAGCCTCCAAAATTTAGAAATGTGTCGCTTTGCCAAATGCCTCCCATAGTTCTCACACAACACCCATAGGGAGTCTGAGTTGAAAAATGCTTTCGCTGTGATTGCACTGTGAGAGTCAACAGTAGCCAGACTGATGGTAACTTACATGCTCAGCACAACAAAAAAAGCCTCTGTATTTCCAGCGAGCCACTGTTTCAAAACCTCCCTTGTGGCAGAAATTGGATGTCTTGCAAGTAGAGCGCTCAATAAAAAGGCAAGCTTGCTGCTCAGGCCCAGACCATTAGCAGCGAGACCAGCCACTAAACGTAGTACACAGGCGATAATTACCTCATTCCCTATAACTTCTTTTTTTGCGATCTTTTTTTTAATACGCTGGTATTTTTAAGAGGGGTTTTTAAAGGGGTAAACACTCAACTGTGGATGCTGAGAAGTCTGCCGCAGACTGATAAAGTGAAATGCAGCTGCTCGTTCGCAGATAAATCTGTTATCTCACAGAAGCCTTTTCGCATCTACCCAGTTCTCTTTTATCAGTTAATTGCCGCTAATGTTGCTTCTTTTCTAACTCGTCCGATGTTCCCGATCTGGAAACCGTCTCCAGATGCTGCAGCTGTTGTCATTGATTTAATTTGTCTAAATAAGAAAACAAGGAAACGGGCCAACAGAAAGCCGAGACGTTAGTTTTTCGAGACGAATCCACGTTCCGTCCCGGGCCTCAGTCGTCTGTTGTATTTGCAATCAGTCAACTCCAACTGTCCGTAAAATTTGATTCTGATTTTATTTGCACATTTTCTAATTTGTCAACGTGTACCGTTTCAGTTTGGCTTTTTCCCCGCTGACTAGGCAGAAAAGCCGGCTATATGTAGCAACAGTGTTACATATAGTGCCTTCCAAGTTTGGCTTCTATCAAAATGGCTGAGATGCTTGTGGCTTCGTGATTAAGCTGCTGCAAACCACACATCCCAGGGAGAGTAAACCCAACATTTAAACCAAAACCCAGATACAGGCAGCCTGGGCAACAACAGTGGCATATTAGTAATTACCCCAAGACAAAATGTCCGTCATTTGTGTGTAACCGACATTCAGGCAGCTTTTCAGCACATGGAATTACGTCTGGGAGGCTTGAGGGGTTCAGGACAGCATTATGCAGCCATTTGACAGCCCAGAATTGTCTAAAGGAATTAAGATGCCTCGTTGTAAAACGGCCTTGAGGAATGAAATTTTATATAAACCTTTACTGTTCTGGTAACACCCCACATTTTCAACCTGCTGACCTTTGTACGTGTTCCATGTACTCTACTGATTTTCTTCTCTTTTTTTCTTTTTTTTTTGGTCACAGACAGATCACCTGACATCAAAGCCGGGCACAGTTGAATATCATCAGCACCATCACTGACCACGTGCCCGTGAATCCCTGTCTGACGTGGAACCTTGTCAAGATGGGAAAATAACCCATCTGTCCAGCAAACGCTTCCATATGGACACAAAGGACGCAGCGCATTCTTCTGGAAATGAAAGCAGCTCCTTTCATCTAAGAGACATAATCAATAATTGATAAGGCCTGCCGCCGCAGGGTTTGAGGATAAATCGGGACGAGAAGGAGTGACGGGACGCGAGCAAGGTGGTGAGTAGCATTGCTGAATTAAGACATTATGCATGAAGGACTTGGTAATCATGGGTCGCTATCAGCTCCCAGGATCACTTCCTGTGAGCTTAGCTGAGTCGTACTCAAGCAATCATTGTTTTATTTGGAAGGAATGCTAATGGGGGTTGCAGGGAAGCCAACCGTCGTCGACGTCACCGAAATGCACTATGTGGTCAGTTTAAATGAGACAATAGATGACTTTACAACAGCCATTATGCAAAGGAGACATTGGAGCACCAATTTGGCACGGCGGACGCTATTTACTGGTTGCCAAAAAATGAGGAATGAAGTCTAAAAAAACAACTAGCCTGGTCAGTTACTGAATATAGAGAAGGGTTGAGATGTAAATTTAAGCAAAAAGGGATTAGACCGAAGCCTCTGAGTCCATTTGCAGGGCTTTCGGGAATGTGCTGAGTTGGACATCGGATGCATGATAACCAAAGTACAGGGCGTTTTAATCAACCTGTCAACCAGCATTTCAAGTTGACGAATAACACCGATGAAGGAATATGGATTTCAAACTTGGGTTTTATTTTTCTTTTATGGCTGAAAGTTCCAGCAATGCTAAAGGGGGAAAAAAACAACCTCAGAAGGACATTTGAGCGGCAGAAAATGTTGTTTATTTTAGGAGTAGTTAGTAATGACATGGAATGACCCAGATGGTTTAACTGGTCTTAAAGTCCCCAAATATAAAGATGTTTTTTATTTTCACTCCCATGTTTGGGCTCTGAACATAGTAAATGTCAAACTGCACCAGCAGTCCAGAAGTCTAATTTTCTGTCTTTAATGGTTACAGCTTTAACAAGCCTGGCAGTCTGGGGAATAATAAATGTGAAAATGTCCCTTCACTCAGGCATTCCAGGTGAAGAACTGCAGCGACACTGAAGGTTGACAGCTGAAGGCATTCGCACTGTGATTAAATCTTGAGTCAGCCCAAATTAAAGGACCCTTTACTGGAATTATTTTTCCAGGAAACGTATCTTTCATCTAGTTTCTTTAATCTGAGGCCTATGGCTCCATAATGATGTCATATGCACCGGTGAGCTCAGTGTATTTTGCGGTTTGTACAAAGTAAGACGAGTTATAGACAGTTGAATTTCTATTAGAAAATAGCACGCGTGATCGACTTTATTTTTTTTGTCTGCGAGTGCTGATGGATGCTCGGCTGTGCGACTTGTGATTTATAACTCCTTCGTAATGTTAGGTTGTGATTTTCTCACCCGCAGATGAAGACTGAAGGGTGTATATAAACCTATAGGGTGTCCCTCGCCAACAACACAGAAAACAAGTCTGTTCTGTCAGTGGAGGCTTGGGGTATTGACTAGAAGATGGCGCGGGACTCAGACAGGCTGTAATTTGTAGAAAGCTTGACGGTCGGAATTAACATTGAGACTCTTCTAGTTGTCGACGCGTGGAGGCCTGATGGCAAACGTTAGCACTGAGGAGGAGCACCGCTGTGCACACGTCTGTGGGGAGTAGTGAACTTGACCGCTGGCCTCATTTAAATTCACTGGGTGTCTCCTATTGTCAGCTCATTTAGCGTGCCTCTGATGTTGGTGTGAACAGATCAACATTTAGATTGTGTACTAATGTGCCACTCAAAGGAGCCTCAAAAGATAACTATCTTTGATATAACCCCCCCCCTCCTGCCCCCTGCGACTCACACTGTCCTCAGCTTAGCCCCGCCAGCACGGGCAAGACAATCCAATCCATTTGCCCCCAAGGGGGATCAAAGCCTCCAGCCTCCTCCTTGTCACTCTATTACCAAAAAAAAAAAAAAACTCCACCTTTGTAAGTCTCCACTCAAATGGGATTGTCCATCAACTGTTAGCTTTGGCAGGGTTAGACGGCATATTGAAACACAGACATTAAAGAGTTTGTGGAGGAGAGACTGACGCAGTGAGGGCAGAGGGAGGAGTAAGGCCATGAAAGGTGGCTGCAAAGGGGCAAATAAAAGCTCTGATAAGGACACAGTGGCCGCTTAGAGGACAAGGGTTTAATTGGTGAAGCTAATATTTTCCCTTTGTCTGATGGGTTATTTCCCTGTTGACTACACGTGTGCCATTAAAACACCCAGGCCCTTTGATGCTGCTGTTTCAGCACCAATGTTTGTCTTTATCTCCTTATCTGATAAATATAACAACCCAACGGGACAACTGTTCTCAGTTAGCTTCTCAGTGATAAAGGTCAGCCCTGGTGTGGAATTATTCTCTAGTCTTTATCTATCCTGTGAATCAGCGTTTCCCAAACTTTTTTTTCTGGGCACCCATATTTTAAAGAGGTCACAAACCTTCGCGACCCAAGTCAGTAGATATTATTCGTAACATAAATGTAGCCCGTTTCTTTTTCTTTTCAACATAGGCTATAATTAATTATATACTATTTAAAATACAATGAGACATACCCACAGGTGGAGTTTTTAAACAGGCAGCTATTTTGAGGTTGGATATGGCCAGCTGTTAACTGACTGTGAACTCCTAGGAAACATGATGCGAGACGACCCCCCCAAAAAAAATCTTGCGATCCACCTGAGGGTCGCGACCTAGTGTTTGAGAAACAATGCTGTAAATGACTATGGCTTTTTATCATCTTTCTATGTTAGCAACTAAGTTAGGGGTAACCATTTAATATCCATCCATCTATCTATTTCTGTGTCTGTATCCATCTGTCTGTCCTTCTGTCTGTCTGTCCGTCTGTTTATATCTGTCTGTCTATCTTTCTAACTGTGTGTGTTTTTACTCAAAGGTCTTACTCTGTAAAATATATAATTTTTATTTCTTCAAAACTTTGTAAATAATGAGTAAATTATATGTGTGAAGCAGCTTTGCGCAATGTGGTTGTGGCGGAGGCAGACTTTACATAGCCGCCATGAGCTGAGCCAGTTCTGGCCCTGGCTCCATCCCCAAAGCCAACATGCCAGCAGCAAACTGCTGGACTAACCATAATGAAGCAGAGGCATTTTTATCCCCAGCTGTAACTCTGCCCCATGACCATGGTGCATCTGTTCACTCCCTCCTCTGGTCAAATGGGCAAAAAGCACATATTGCAATATCATATTTTTTTTTGCGTACTGGCATGTGTGTAACCACTGTGATGTACTGTATTCCACGAATGGTACTGGAGGGAGTGAGAGAATCCACCTGAAGGATACAGGTGGTGGAGGAGGGATTGAATCTCCTGCAGAGCACCAGTCTTGCCAACACTGACTTGCTGAAAAAGCAAGTGGCAAAGGGAAAAATAAATATGTGTATGGCTCCAGAACGCAACAGAGCATAGTGAAACACTGGGGATTGTGGTCAGGTATCTGTTTCATGGTGTGAATGTGTCTGTTTTAGCCCAGTACACTTTCCAACCTTGGGGCCTTCTGAAGTCGAACCAGCTGTGTTTCCCTTCATGTGGTAAATGGGAACGTGAACAAGGCATGACATCATCAGAAAGGGACCTGTGACCACAGAGGAGGTGCCAGCTGCTGAGGGAGCGCCAGGTTGGATCGAAACACGAGTGAAATCCATGAGCCTCCCGCGGTGAGTAAACCCAGTGACACAGCACTTTCTCAAGTGGAACCGTGAGAAAAGAACTCACGAACTGCTGCGTGGAAAGGCGCACGCGTGGTGTTCTACTATGAGCGCATGGTCACGTAAAACGAAGCATGTTCAAAAGTTTCCACGTTCATTTTGGTTTGTTTGCTTTTCACAGATATGAGTGTGGAAGGTCGTTTAGAGAGAGACGGCTGGATGAACAAGTGCTGGAGAGATTTGCTGGACATGAAGTCGCCTGGTAAGAAGGGGAGGAATGACGATGTAACCACAGTAGTTGCCAAAGACAGACAATCTGCTTTAGGAACACCTGAAGGGAGCGTACATAAAAAGAAGGAAAAATCTAAGACTTACCAATGAGTAGATTGTAAAGGAAGCGCTGGTAGATCTAGACCAGGGCTGTCAAACTCATTTTCACCGGGGGCCACGTCATCAATACAGTTCTCTTTGAAGGGCCGGTTGTTGGACGACTGTATAGATTGGGGGTCCTCAATTTCTGGTCCGTGGACCAGTACCAGTCTGGAGGTCATTTGGTACCGGGCCGCAGTGAGACACAGTGAAAAAATGTACTTAATTTTTACTAATTTACTTCATTCAAAGAAAATCCAGTCATATCCATTTACTTTCTTTATTTAAAGACAATCTGACAATATTTTACAAATAACAGGTCATTCAGACTCTGATACAAACAGAACAGAGTCTAAAAGATGTTTTATTTTGGAAATGTAATGATCCTTCAATGCTCAGTACCTTATTAGTGGTCTGTAGTAACAGGTGGTACTGGCTGACCCGTCCTTGGAACAAAAAAGGTCAGGGACCACTGGTATAGAACTAACTACTCCATAACAGCCTAATACATGTTTCTACAATTGATTATTATTTGACTGATTATAAAAACTCCCGCGGGCCACACAAAATGGCTTGGCGGGCCGCGTTTGGCCCCCGGGCCTTGAGTTTGACACATGATCTAGACCAAGGGTGTCAAACTTGGGCCAAAATGAAAATGAAATGAAAAACTGTGATGAAGTCGCGGGCCAAACTTAATATTTATGGAAATATTGGCGGCAATTGTGCATGTTTTCCTTTCTCCCCAGATGTAATTGAGACTTTTTTCATATGGAAACAAACTTTAATTTCACCTAAACATCCAATCTGGAACGACCCAAGCTTAATATTATAAACACATGAGAAATTAAATTTGAAATAAAACACACATCAGTGATATTTGTTTCTTATTATGTCTCTTTTTCTGTAGCCTTTCGAGTTCCTTTTTAATGTAAAGCTTTTTTTCACAGGCCAACAGCAAAATGCATTTGCTATTACGTAGCGCATACACTGCGAATACTAAGAATCCCGCCCATATATAGTGGCTATATACTGGCCGGCCAACTCTAGTACACATTTGATATGATCTAGCGGACCAAATGTAACTACACTGCGTGCCAGATTTGGCCCCTGGGCCTGGGTTTGACACCCGTGAATTCTAATTCTGTTCATGTGTACAGTAGGAGCGAACATATACTGTAAGAACTAAATCATATTGGTTCATGAAACTTCTTGCATTTAATCAGTAACGCAACATATATGTATATATATTTAAATATGTATTTATAAATTATGTATATATTTATATGAGTAAATATATATTTAACCTTTTCATTGCAGGTGGATCACTTTAGCCTGGTCATCTGAATAGTAGCTTCAGAGCTGAGAAAGAATGAACGTCGCTGGTCTACGATCTACGATGGAGTTCAAAAAGAATAAGGTAAGAATGAATATTAATATTACATCATCTTTGCTGAACTTATGAACGGGTTATTAATGGTACGGTACATTTCATATCTTTCTCGATATAATGATCAAGTAACTACTGCCTCAGGTCATCTGTCACATATTGCATAGTAGTCGAATACATGACAGAAAGTTGACGTTCTCTAGATTTTGAATCATCACCTCGAATATGTAACCTAAAACTCATCCCTTCTTAGAGAAAGAGAAGCTGCCTTATTTGTTGTGTTTACAGCGCTGTGACGTTAAAGCCGCAGAGCAAACCTGTTCTCCACCTGCATGCTAACACTTACCTCATTGTGCTCGACGAGCTGCGCTTTGTTTGGTTATTTCACAAGAACAGAGAGATTTCCACTCGTTGCTCAATCAAGCTGATTGTCACTCCACAAAGATGAATGCTTGGCATTGTGCTCGTGTTCGACGAAGCCATCGTTGCCAGCAGTCGGCAGTTTCTCCCCCTCCTTTTTAATATTCTGTTTACACAAGTGGTTGGCTCTGGTCTGAGCCTTTATTTTAAAAGCATGACATCTTCGTGACGAGACAGGGGTCAAGTATGCATCCTCTTCTTGTTTTTCACCCCTTCCTCCCCTATGGAGAGCTAATGAGGTTTTAATTCAGAATTATCTGTTGGGAGAGTTTTGGTATGCCAGAAATACTAGGTAGTCAAGCTGAGGAAGATTTATTTTCTCCAAGGCTGATGGCTGATGAGAGATTTTAATAATGCTGACAATGAGACCATGAAAAAAAAAAAACAAACAAAAAAAAACAAACACACCAGCGGGTTCGGTGTGAATCGTAACTCATGTCTGATGCTGATTTTTAAATATTTACTGCAGTGACATGCTCCTGATTTCTGAAAGTGTGAAGGAAGCGTGACAACGCCTGTCAGTGGAAATGCTGATTCATTCCTGTGGTATGACAAAACCAAATGTTGTTGGTTAGAACGCCGATACACGGGCGATTGTGGTATTACTCCAAACCTCCGATACCCCAAGAATCCCCAGTGTGTGCTGGTGTATATACGTGTGCATGTGTGTGTGTGGTCTTGGTATATCGCTCTATACTTGTGGGGACATTTTGTCCTTGTGGGGACATTTTTCAGGCCCTCGCTCAGAAGGAGTGTATTTTGAGTTTTTAAGATTTGGTTTGTGATGGTTAGGGTTAGTGAATTATCTATATGTCAAGTCCTCACAACGCATGAAAAACCAGATTGTGTGTGTTGGCTTCAATTTTGTGACATCATTTCGGTGACATCACTCCCAACTGGATCAGCTGTACAGGGCTCTTTGGTTAAACAAGAGCCGACCTGTTTTGTTCGATTAATTTTATTTATTTGTGTTGCAATTTGGGAATCGCCGTGTTTGTACATCTGTACCAGTCGTTAGGCGGCATGTGAGGACACGATTACGTGTGTGTCCGCGCGCGCGCGTATGTGTATATCTGTTGTGAATGTTGTTGTTTCTTCAGAGTCCGTGGCTACGCGTGTGACACACACACACACACACACACACACCCTGACCTTACTTAAGTCAGGGCACATGCCTGTGGCCTGTGTTAGTCTGTGGTTGGCGCAGTGATGACAGGCTCTCACACATACACATACACACACACACACTCATTGATTCCATGAACCCCACAAACATGACTTGGCTGAGCCTGTATGGTATATTGTGCTGCTGACAATGCTACTCTGAAGAATGGGCATTAAATGACCGTGTTTCTGTATATCTGCCCTCACAACTCATATTTATACATAAATATCCAACACTAGCAATAAAGCTAATAATATATATTTTTACAAATTTTTTTTTAGCAGTTTAACTTCAATTTATGGGCACAGTGGTGAGAAAAGAAAAAAAAACTGTGGTACAATGCATAACTCAAAACCCCAGGACCCCCCAAGTGGGATTTTGTGGTCACAAATAAATTGTTGAGCCTTTTTTCCTACAATTACCGTGAGAAATGCTTATCTTGCCATTTCAAAATAATTGTCGCTGTTATAAAAAGGCTGCAGTAAAACGGGTCAGAATACCATTATGGATTCATTTGATTGTCAGCATTTTGTGTAATGGTTTATTGTGCGGGTTGTTGACATTCTTGTGCTGTTGGACAATGGAAAGTTTTTGTGTTTATTTATTCGTAACTGGCTAACCGTGACTAGCTGTGGTTGAGCTGCTAATGAACTTCTAAAGAGCAAGGTACATTTGTGTACATTTCGACGGAATTTTCCTTCCTGGCGTTTGTTAACGTATAATCCGGCCTTGTTTTCCTGCGAACGTTATTATCGTGGCTTTAAATATGGCAAAAATATACAGAGCTGTGTGTCCATACGACTTTAAGAAGAGAACAAATACTGTTGTTTTCTTCCCATCTCCTCATCCGAACAGGTGTAATTACAGACACCGTAGTGTATTCCAGTGGATTCAGTGATTACGCATCAGAGCACGCCTGTTGCACAACAGTCAGGAAACGGGACCGTGTTCTGCATTTGAAAAGGCTGGGAATGGAGGTGCCTTTTGATTCGAGTTGCATCACGAGGCGACATGCGGAGAGAAATCGTAGTGTACTTTGAGTCAGATTAAATAATTAGAGGCTTTAGTTTGGATAGCTACCCAGCTCCCTCTGCTACACATGAAGGCCCGCGAAGCGATAATTAGAAACTAGCCGCCAACACCAAAGGGTTAGGTGGCAAACACTCAGCAGGGACGCACATACTTTGTCATTACCTCTGCGCAGTTATCATTTGATATACCGGCGTCCTATCCTGTTTTCAATGTTTGTCTGATGACATCGTCCTCCGAGTCGTCGCCCTACCTCGGCGGCAGGATGTGGCCTGTCCACTAACGACCCATTAAAGTGGTGTTTGTTGTGAGTGCGTCTTTTGGGACTGTCAGCACATATTTCAGCCATTGTGTGCAACATGCTGAGAATCCCGTCTTTTGCCAAACATTGATGCCATCCACTTAGCCTAAACCAATAATTTGGGCATTTAAAAACCACCGTCTGATTGCTCAAATAACTTTAAGCGAATTCCAGGACTAGAACTGTTTCGTCCTCGAACTGCGTGCATCAAATTCCTGCAAATCATTTCCCAATTCCATAAAGAAAAAAAACCCTAAATGGCTAAGAATGAAGGGGGGGGGGGGTAAAGCAAAAGAGTATGTTTTTCACATTATGTTTAATAAAACAAATATAATCCAAAAAAAAAAATCTATTTATAGCAGTTTCTTATAAAACAATATATATAACACATTTACAATGCATGCAGCACGATGTCTTTATAATACTGGTGTCGACAGAATCCAATAGCTCAATTAAGTGCCACCTCTAGGATTATATTTACAATACAGTAATTTACTGCAATAACCGAGGCTCGAAGTTCCATAAAAAGAGAAACAATACAGCTCTGCCGTTACCACTGACACGAATCAATGTCCCGAAGGCTTTGAAATGTTACATCCTAACTTCCGACTCCTCCGCTGTCGATGGCGAAACCGGATCAGTCCGACCTGCGCTGTAGCATCCCTCTGGGTGTATCACCTCTCCAGGATTTATGCCTATCCTTCCGGGTGCTGGATCTGAGTTAGCAACTTTGGCAGGAATGTGTGTATCTGTTTGTCCATTTTTTGTGTCAGCGTCTCTGACAGGTGTGTAGGTTCCGGGCTGCAGTCCTGCTGACACTGTGGTCTCGCTCTCCTTTCTCCTGGCGGCAGACGAGGCCCTCGCCGCAGTCGCAGCGCTGGAACAGCTCCAGGCCGTGGTTGCCTTTCCTGCGATGGCGTGTGCACACCTGGCCCTCTGTCAGCACGGGCTTACAGATGCGAGACCAGAAGTGTCTGGCGCAGCACAGACTCTCTGAGCAGTCGGTTGATCTGAGACAAGTGTCCCCTTCCTGGCCTGTGGAGACGACAACAACATGGCATGAGAATTTGGAATGTTTTCTCTCAGCGTCACCCGGATGTAACCAACGCTGAAACTGTTGGACCGTTTGCTCACCTTTCACGGCATGAGGCTGGTGATTATGGGTGGACGGAGGCCTCTTTGCCTGATGCTCCACAGTGTTGTTTTGTTTTTGCACGTCGGTGATGACAGCTGCATCTGCTCCATCCACATCATTGGCCTGACAAACACCTAAGATGGCAAGAAAAAACAAGCCAAGATAAATCAGACTGGCAACGCTTTAAAAACGTGAAAATTGAAATGCATGATGGGAGATAAGAAAAGTAAAAACAACAACAAAAAAAGGCAAAACATCCACAGCTATAAATTAGTCTAGAACAGTCCAATGGAGAAGGTAGGACATCTGCTCACCATTGCTGCAGCGGTTTCCTGCACAACACATGGAATCCCGTGAGCAACGCTTCCGGCTCTTACGACAGGGCAGACAGGCGCCTCGGGCGTCATTGCAGAATTCATCACCTCCGCAGTCTTCATCATCAGTGCAGACAGCCGACTGCTACAGTGAGAAGATTCGAAACACATGTTCAGGCATTTCAAACGTCAGAGTTTCGGTTTGGAACGCACCGACAGCAACTTTGCGCACGGTGCGCAACTTTACGCACGGTAAACATTCTC